GGGAAGTAAATACCTTCCTGCAGCCGTCTAAACAGACCAGAGTTCCTGAACACACGAGCGTCATGAACCTTGCCCGGCCATCCGACGTAGATGTTTGTAAACCGTCCCCGATGGTCCACCAGTGCTTGCAGCACCATTGAAAAGTAGCCCTTTCTATTGATGTACTGGCTGGCCTGGTGGTCCGGTCCCAGGATAGGGATGTGAGTCCCATCGATAGCCCCACCGCAGTTTGGGAATCCCATCGCGGCAAAGCCATCTATGATGACCTGCGCGTTTCCCAGGGTCACTACCTTTGGGAGCAGTACCTTCACGATCGCCTTGGCTACTTGCATGACAACAACCCCCACGGTAGATTTGCCCACACCAAAGTGGTTCGCGACTGACCGGTAGCTGTCCGGCGTTGCAAGCTTCCAGAGGGCTATGGCCACTCGCTTCTCAACTGTGAGGGCTGCTCTCATCCTGGTATTCTGGCGCTTCAGGGCAGGGGACAGCAATTCACAAAGTTCGAGGAAAGTCCCCTTCCGCATGCGAAAGTTTCGCAGCCACTGGGATTCATCCCAGACCTGAAGCACTATACGGTCCCACCAGTCCGTGCTTGTTTCCCGGGCCCAGAATCGCCGTTCCACGATATCCACATGCCCCATTGCCACCGTGATGTCCTGGGCGCTGGGGCTCGTGGTTTCTGACAGCTCTGTGCTACTCTCCGACTTCAGGCCATCACGGCGGTGTCGTAGCCTCCTCGCCTGATTACTCTTCATCTGCCTCAGGGAAAGGTGTATGATAAGCTGCGAGGTGTTGAGAACGGCCACAAGTGCAGCGATGGTCGCAGCGTGATCCATGATCGCAGCGCTGTGGCGTCCGCGCTGTCACTGACCAGAAAAGTGCGCGAACTGATTTCCCGCCGGCGCTTTCATGGAGGGAGGGAGGGCGTTAGTGACGGACGGATGACGACACATTTTTTTTACCCAGAAGGCATTGGCGGCTCGACCCAGAATTCCGATGGGCAGCGGGGACTGCGGGAACTGTGGGATAGCTGCCCACAGTGCACCGCTTCCAATATCGACGCTCGCCCGTTAGTGTGGACTCACAAAGTCGAATTACTGTCCTTAGTGTGTCCTTAGTGTGGACACACACGTTCGACTTTGCAATATCGATTCCACATATTCGATTTAAGTAAAATCGAATTAACCTCGTAGTGTAGACATACCCTCAGACTCCCAGGTGAGAAAGATGTTGCTGGAAAAGTCAAGGGGACGGTAGGGTGGAGCTGTCACAGCCACAGGAATAATCAAATTCTGGAAAACCTGCCAAGATAAATTGGTTTCAAATTCAGAGGGACTCTAAAGTTTGTTTTTCTTTCTAAATGACTGTTTCATGGTATGAGTTTTTAAGAGGGACAGTAACTAACCATTGGAACAATTCACCAAAGGTCATGGTGGATTCTCCATCACTACCAATTTTTAATGAAGATTGGATTTTTCAGAAGATCTGCTGTAGATAAAAAGGAATTATCTGGGGATGTTCTCTGGTCTGTGTTATACAGGAGGTCATACAAGATGATCACAATGATCTTGGAAGCTATAAATCATTGAACTGTATGGCAGAAGAAGGAAAACATACATGGAAAGGTGTAAAGCCGTAACCTGGGTGTAACTTTGAAATGTTATAAGAAGTTGCATACAAAGGGGCCTAGGCTGGGCCAACACAGAAATAAGGTCGCTGGAATGAATGAAACATACAAATAAGAAAAGGATCAAAGAGTATTTTGTGCACCATCGCCATCTACTGGATATGGATGGCAGTACCAGGAAGCCCAGATCTGCCCTGAAAATGACCCTGGAGACAGAGGTCACCGTGTGGCACACAAATGGTTGCTGACCCATCAAAGAAGATGTTGAAGTCCAGAAAGGAGCCTGTGGACAGCCCCTTCCCTCCTCCAGGGTTAGCAGCACATGAGAAGAAGTGCTGAAAGTTCTATTTCCGGAAAAAGTCATTCTTGCCTTTAAGAAATGAAACATCTCGACTTTTTGTTTTGAAATGTTGTTTCATTTAGAAATTAAGTGAATTATTTTTAAAAAAATATTTTTAAAGGAAAAAAATCCTATAAACTGAACTGAAATCAAAGGAAAAAACCATACCCCCTGCCCCCAAATTCTGCTAAGTTCAGTCCTTGAGGGGACCATTTAGGGATCTGTGGGGGGGGGGGGGGGGAAAAATTGGGAAATGGTTTTGGTTTTAACAGGGGGTTGGAATAAATGACCTCCAGAGGTACCTTCAAACCAAAAAATATAATATTTATATAAAAAAAAAAAAAAAAAAAAAAAAAAAAAAAAAAGTTGGTTCTCAATCAACTTTTTGTGCCAAAATTGCATTTAAGTTCAAAACTCAGCTAATTATAAAATAAGGGTGAAAAACAACTGAACAGGACCCAAAATTAAAGCAAAAAGCAAAAATATTTTTTTCTGTTTGATGAAAACACCCCAAAGTAAATGACACCCCCCCCCCAAATTTGTTTTGAAACAATGTATTTAAAAAAACAACAACGAGGAGTCCTTGTGGCACCTGAGAGACTAACAAATTTATTTGGGCATAAGCTTTCGTGGGCTACAGCCCACTTCATCGGATGCATGGAGTGAAAAATATAGTAGGGAGGTATAAATACACAGCACATGAAAAGATGGGAGTTGCCTTACCAAGTGGGGGGTCAGTGCTAATGAGGCCAATTCAATCAAGTTGGCTGTGGCCTGTTCCCAACAATTAACAAGAAGGGGTGAATATTCAGACTTAATTTGATGGTGTCAAGTTTCCAAATTAATTCCAGTTCTTCAGTTTCTCATTGAAGTCTGTTTTTGAAGTTTTTTTGTTGAAGAATGGCCACTTTTAAGTCTGTTTTAGGCCTGAATAAAGACCGGGAGTGGCGGGGTCACTACAAAAAGTAATTTTCCCTCTGTTGATATTCACCCCTTCTTGTCAACTGTTGGGAACAGGCCACAGCCACCTTGATTGATTTGGCCTCGTTAACGCTGACCCCCCCACTTGGTAAGGCAACTCCCATCTTTTCATGTGCTGTATATATATACCTGCCTACTGTATTTTTCACTCCATGCATCTGATGAAGTGGGTTTTAGCCCATGAAAGCTTATGCCCAAATAAATGTGTTAGTCTCTAAGGTGCCACAAGGACTCCTCGTTGTTTTTGCTGATACAGACTAACACGGCTACCCCTCTGAAATGTATTTTTAGAGTTTCTGATTTGGCAAGAAAAAATTTAAAAAATCATTTTTGGGAGGAACCCGTTTTCCCCCCAGATTGTATTGTTCAGCCTCTGAGTGAAAAACATAGTGATTCGCTCAGCCCCACTCCTGGTGTGAGCCCTCCGGAGTTGGGAAATCAACCAGTCGCTCTACTCACCAGTGTGATGTGGGGAAAAAGCCATGGAGAGCAGTAGCAGCATCCTTGGTTCAAATCCAGGGGCTGGGATTGGAGGATCTGTCTCAGCCCTGGGGCTTATATACAGTGGGCAGCAGGGACAGGTCCCTGGGAAGAGTTGACCCGGGACATACAGGGTCATGTGTCCGGCTAGCAAGAAATTCCCCAGCAGTAATGTGTCAGGGGTGGAGATTCCTGGGAGGAAACCTTGAGCCACATCCCCGTCTGCATCAGGGGAGGCTTCCTTCCTGCACTGGTGCCTTCCCTGCCCCTGGCTGGAGACGTGGCCAGCTCTGAGGCCCCCCAGCTGCAGATGGCAGAATCCCCCCTTGTCTGTTCTGCCCCTGGATGCCTGGATCCCCAGATGTTCAGGCCACCAGATTCTATTCCATCCTCCCATCTGCCTTCCTGAATGACTCTGGCTGAAGAACCTCGCCCAGCTCCCCCGGACTGAGCTCCATCACTGGTGTCCGGTGAACGCCTCTTCCAGCAAGGCAGCCAGGTTGGGTCTGACACCAGCCAGAGACGGAGAAACCCCCCTGCTGGTTGCCTGGTTAATCCCCCTCCTTGTCCCACATTGGGGCCTCCTTTCCCATTGGATTTGGTCAGGCTTGAGATTTCCCTGTTGGATCTTGTTCTGCCTTTTCCTGTTGGATTCAAGAGCCCCCCAGAGCCCAGCTTTTTTCTCTTCATGAAGGTCCTTGTGCCCTGAGCACCAGGCACTTCCCCAGTGACTTGTGGAGAAGCCAAACAGAGCGAGCGCTTTCAATCTCTCCCTGCCAGGCACTTTCTTCAGCCCTCCAGTCATTTGCCTGCCCGGTCCTGCCCCGTCTCCAATTTGCTGCCATCCCATTTAAAATGTGCACCCCAGAACTGGGCACAGGATCCCTGGAGCCCCAGGGAAACACCCCTCCTCGCCTCAGCTCACCACCCCCTGTTGACACAGCCAAGGACATCACTAGCCCTTGTGCTGCAGCATTGCACAGGGAGCTAATTGGGGTTGTCAGGTCGCATTTGGCTGGAGAATTCTGCCCCAGCTGGGATGGGAGAGAAGCTGCCTTAGGAAGGTCCTTGGTTGTCTTGGGTTTGGGTCTGGGGGAGCTGGGGATGCAAAGGCAGCATTAAAATCCTTCAGCAACCTCAGCTGTAAGGATAAGGCTTTTGCCTGTAGCCATATTGTAAGGCCCAAGGCCTTTGTCTGCAGCCAGGTTAGAAGAACAGGAGCCATGAGCTAAGTAGCAGGAAGTCACATCCTCACATTCCATCTAAATTACATGAAAATAATGTAATATTGGGCTGTTACAGAGGAGACCCTGTCCCAATAACACCCACCATCACCAGATAAAGAAACGGATCTTGAGATGCTTAAAGAAAACTTAGTTTGATGCATTCTGTCTGGGAAGAAGCCACTTATCAGTAGTTGTGGTTGTGAATTCCTCATTTCTTTATTGTTTTGTCTTCATGGTCCTCACCTCTCTATTGTTTGTCTATATGATCTCTGTCTGGTTCTTTGATTGTTTCTGACTGTTACATAATTCATTTTGCTAGGTGTAAATTAATTAAGGTGGTGGAGTATGTCTGGTTAGAGAATTTTGTTAGGATTGGTTAGTAAAACTTTATAGAATAATTGGTTAAGGTACAGCTAAGCAGGACTCAAGTTTCACTATATAAACTGGGATCCAAAGGGAAGTTCTTTGGGAACCACTCCAGGACAAAGCCCCAAAGATCAGAGCTGCCAGACCCTAACTCTGCCAATGACACTGTGTAGAAACTGAAGTCCCCGAGATGGACCTGATCCTGACTGGCCAGCAGGGAAAAGTTCATCTGTCTTATTGGGAGTGGTGAGCACTGTATGTGTAGCATGTGCATTCTGTTTTAGTGATATATAAATAGAGGTTAAGTAGGATATGACTGTGTAAGGCTCTTTCACTGGTAAAAGACCGCACAAACCCGCAAAGGATTAAGCCCTGAGTCCACAGGGAATGGGTGTTTACCCGGAGCCCATTGGGGACTAGAGCCTGGAACCCACAGAGGGGTAAAGTTAGGTTACGCTTGAGCCCTAGGAACGGGTAAGGGTGGGTGCCCTAGGGTATAAGGTTATGCCTGAGCCCTACAATTAGGTACGGGTGGGTGCCTAAATTAAGAGGGTTAAGTCTTGTGCCCTATGAACTGGGTAAAGGTGGGTGCCCCTAGAGTGTCTGAGTAACAGAGAATTTCCCAAGAGAAACTGTAGGGCCAGGTATTAAATTATGCTCAGCCCCCAAAGGTCAACCAGGATCTCAGCAGCAGTGCAAGTCCAGAGTCTATCTATCCATTTATCCATCCATCCCCATACTCTCTCTCTCTCCCCATACAGCCCCATATCTATCTAATCTATCTATATATCTATCCCCATCCACCCCATCTATCCATCTATTTGTCTATCTGGCTGAAGAGATATCTGATCCATTAGTGGTTATCTTTGAGAACTCATGGAGGTGGGAAGGATCCCAGATGACTGAAAAAGGGCAAATATAGTATTTCTCTATAAAAAAAAAGAGGAATATGGTAACCCAGGGAATGATAGACCAGTCAGCTTTATTTTGGTACCTTTAAAGAGAATGGAGCAAATAATCAAACACTCAGATTTAAGCACCTAGAAGAAAATAAGCTGGTAAGTGAGTTAAAGTGGATTTGTCAAGAAAAAATAACATCTAACCAACCTAGCATCCTTTGACAAGGTAACAAGACTTGTGAATGGGGGGATGCAATAGATGGGATTTATCTTGACTTTAGTAAAGCTTTTGATACTGTCTCACAAGACCGTCTCATTAACAAACTAGGGAAATGTAGCCTAGACAAACCTACTATAAGGTGGCCGCACAACTGGTTGAAAAAGCATTCCCGGAGAGTAGTTATCAGTGGTTCACAGCCAAGCAGGAAGGGCATATCGAGATGGGTCCCTCAGGGATCTGTCCTGGGTCAGGTTCTATTCGATAGTATCATAAATGATTTTAATAATGGCATAGAGTGTACACTTATAAAGTATGCGGATGATACCAAGCTGGGAGGGGTTGCGAGTGGTTTGGAGGACAGGATTAGAATTCAAAATTATCTTGTCAAACTGGAGAGATGGTCTGAAATAAATAGGACACAATTCAATAAGGACAAATGCAAAGTACTCTACTTAGGAAGGAACAATCCGTTGCACGAATGAAAAATAGGAAATGCCTGCCTGGGAAGGAGTACTGCAGAAAGGGATCTGGGGTCATAGTGTATCACAAACTAAATAGAAGCCAACAATGTAACACTATTGCAAAACAAGTGGAAGTCATTCTGGGATGTATTAGCAGGAGTATTGTAAGCAAGACACGACAAGTAATTCTTCTGCTCTACTCAGCACTGATTAGGCCTCAACTGGAGTATTGGGTCCAGCTGAGGGCACCACACTTCAGGAAAGATGAGAACAAGCTGGAGAAAGGCCAGAGGAGAGCAACAACAATTATTAAAGGACTAGAACACGTGAACTATGAGGGAAGATTGAAAAAACTGGGTTTGTTTAGTCTGAAAAAGAGAAGACTGAGCGTGGACATGATAACCATCTTCAAATATCTAAAAGATGGTTATGAATAGGAGAGTAATAAACTGTTCTCCTTAAGCGCTGAGGACAGGACAGGAAGTAATGGACTTAAATTGCAGCAAGGGAGATTTAGGTTGGACATTAGGAAAAACTTCTAACTGTCAGCGTGGTTAAGCGCTATAACAAATTGCCCAGGGAGGTTGTGGAATCTCCATCACTGGAGATTTTTAAGAACAGGTTAGACAAACACCTGTCCGGGATGGTCTAGATAATTTCTTTCTTTCTTTCTTCTGATTTTTGAGTTGTTCATATCTTATTTATTAAGTTACATTGTTGATGTTGATTTATTTCTGGGAGATTGTTTTAAGTTAGGTTGGGCTTACTAAAGTAGGGGGCCTTGATGTCTGGGCTCAGATGCCTGATGGAGGGGACCAGCCTGACTCCTGTTTGTGATCCTTCTGTCTCCGGATGGGTGTACAGAGTGGAAAAGGAATTACATAGAAGGGAAACTAAAAATACCCTGGTACTGATTTCTCCTCTAATGGGTCTAGTTGCGCTCTATTGGCAGGGAGATGTCCCAGGTGTCAGCGACAGGATACCATAGCCAGGAGAACTGATAACACACATAGTGCATTGCTTTTTCACTCATGATTTTCCTTGTCTTTCTAGCAGACGCGGCGTGAATTACTCCAACCCTGGGGGTGAATTCCCCATGGGTCCAAAGCAGTCCCTGGTTACACCTGTTAGGTACAACAATTGGCGGGGGGGGCATTCATTCAGTTCCCAGGAAGGCACAAATTCATTGTTTTGTAACTTCATTTTTATTCATTGCTGGCTAAGAAGCAGGGAGTGAAATGCAGCAGGCTGAGCAGCAGGGCAGGGAAGGGGAGGTTAGAAGGAGGCGCTCAGAGCTGTCATTTCATCTGAAATCAGCATATCCTTTGCTAATTTCCCTTCCCATGAACAAACTCCCGCTGGCCTTGCCAGTCCTAGGAACATGTGTGTTTGGAACAGGAGGTGGCCATCCCGGGGGAACTAACATGTGGGAAAGGACCAGAGAGGACAGGGCAGGCTTCAGTTTTAACACCACTTAACAGGTCAGGTAAGAACGAGCATCTCCCATAAACGGTCACCTGACTGGCTGACACGGGGGAGAGGCACAAACCGCTGGGTCCTCCCTGGATTTGGCTTGTGTCCATTACCCCGGGGAAAATAAAACCAGTTGTTTCCCTACTGAAGAGGCAGTCTAGGGGTTTGGGTCGGGATTTCCAAGGGAGCCAACAGAAGCTGGTCTTAAATCTGGCCCTAACTCCCCTAGGCTTCCTGCGTTGATGCTTATGGGTTGGGCGCTGCCTGAGCACACAGCAATGGCTGGTGGGGGGGGAACTCAGCCCCCCCCGCAAAGCAGACTCTACATCTGGGCCAAGCCAAAGGATAGAAGTGGTGAACCTCCGGCCCGTGCAGTA